TTTTGTGACAGAGTCTTGCTCTGTTGCCCAGACTGGAGTGCAGTGGTAGGATCTCTGCTCATTACAACCTCTTCCTCCTAGGTTCAAGTGAGTCTTCTGCCTTAGCCTCCCAAGTAGCTGGGATTACAGGTGTGCATCACCATGCCTGGCTAATTTTGTGTTTTTAATAGCGATGGGGTTTCTCCATGTTAGTCAGGCTGGTTTCAAACTCCTGACCTCAGGTAGTCCACCCGCCTCAGCCTCCTGAAGTGCTGAGAATTACAGGGGTGAGCCACTGCACCAAGCCTCTTTTTTTTTTTTTTTTTTTTTAAATAGAGACGAGACAAGGCCTCACTGTGTTGTCCAGGCTTGGGGTCTTGAGCTCCTGGGCTCAAGTGATCCTCCTGCCTCAGCCTCCTGAGTAGCTGGGATTACAGACAGGTGCCACTGTGCCTGGCATTCAAGCTTTAAGATCTAATGGAATTTGCCTTGCTAGATTTTGGACTTGCTTGGTAACCATTACCCCTTCCTTCCTTTTGATTTTTTCCATTTGAGAATGGAAATGTCTATCCTATGTCTGCCTACCATTGTACAGTATATTGGAAGCACATAACTTGTCTGGTTCCATAGGTTCACATCTGGAGAGGAATTGAGTCTAAGAATGAATTATACCTTCAGCCTCACCTTGTCTGATTCAGATATTTATTTTTATTTTTACTTATTTTATTTTATTTTATTATTATTTTTTGAAACAGAGTCTCGCTTTGTCGCCCAGGCTGGAGTGCAGTGGCGCACTCCTGGCTCACTGCAGCCATTGCCTCCTGGGTTCAAGCTATTCTCCTGCCTCAGCTTCCTGAGTAGCTGGGACTACAAGTGCCTGTCACCACACCTGGCTAATTTTTGTGTTTTTAGTAGAGACGGGGTTTCACCATGTTGGTCAGGCTAGTGTCAAACTGCTGACCTCGTGATCCGCCTGCCTCAGCCTCCCAAAGCACTGGGATTATAGGCCTGAGCCACTGCTCCCGGCGATTCAGATAATATTCAGATGAAACTTTCGCCTTTAGATTTTAGAATTGATGCCAGGATGTCTTAAGACTTTGGGGGTAGAATTAATGTATTTTTATTTATTTATGTATTTATGTATGTATTTATTTGTTTTTGAGTTGGAGTCTCACTCTGTCACCCAGGCTGGAGTGCAGTGGCACCATTTCTGCTCACTGCAACCTCCATCTCCCAATTTCAAGCAATTCTTATGCCTTAGCCTCCCAGGTAGCTGGGATTACAAGCATGCGCCACTATACCTGTCTAATTTTTTTGTATTTTTAGTAGAGACTGGATTTCACCGTGTTGGCTAGGCTGGTCTCAAACTCCTGATCTCAGGGTGGCCTTCCAAAGTGCTGAGATTACAGGTGTGAGCCACCGTGCCTGGTGGAATTAACATACTGTATATGAAAGAAAGACATAAGTTTTGGGGGGGGGGCCAGGGCCAGAATGCTGTAGACTGAACTGTGTTCCCCAAAATTCATATTTTGAATCCCTAATTCCCCATATGACTATTGAAAATAGGGCTTCAGAAGGTTATTAAGATAAAATATGAGTGGAAGCCTGATCTGATAGAGAGGAATGCCTTTTAATAAGAAGGGATACCAGAGCTCTCTCTTCCATGTGAGAATACAGCAAAAACTCAGCCTCATCAGAACTCAGTTGTGCTGGTACCCCGCAGGTACCCTGATCTCAGACTTCTAGTCTCCAGAATTGTGAGAAAATAAATTTCTTTCTTTTTTCTTTTTTTTTTTTTTTTTTGAGACGGAGTTTCACTCTTGTTACCCAGGCTGGAGTGCGATGGCGCAATCTCGGCTCACCACAACCTCCGCCTCCTGGGTTCAGGCAATTCTCCTGCCTCAGCCTCCTGAGTAGCTGGGATTACAGGCACGTGCCACCATGCCCAGCTAATTTTTTGTATTTTTTTTAGTAGATACGGGGTTTCACCGTGTTGACCAGGATGGTCTCGATCTCTTGACCTCATGATCCACCCACCTTGGCCTCCCAAAGTGCTGGGATTACAGGCTTGAGCCACCGCACCCAGCCAAGAAAATAAATTTCTGTTAAGCCACACAGTCAGTGGTATTTTGTTACGGCAGCCTGAACTAATTTTACTTGTGGGAAATATAATTATTTCTCACATCGTGAAACTTGTCTGATTCCATAGGTTCACATTGTGAAAAATAATTATATTTCTCACAACAAGTAAAAGTTCAGTTAATAGAAGACAGCGTATTCTCTGTTGTCTGTTGTGAAATGGTGTTCAATTGAAGTATATCAAGAAAATTTGGTTTTACTCAGATGTATAATTGGAAAGGGGAGGAGTATTTTAATAGCCTTCTCAGAAAATTTGTGGATATCTTTTTTTTTGAAACTACACTAAAACTTGCTATGAGTACTTTCTGCAAGTTTAGTTGCAGTGTGGAATCTGAACTTTGAATGCTCTGTTATGTGAAAATCTATTGGTATATCTTACATTTTGAATGGATCTCTTATGTATAATTTTACAATATACATTGGTTGTTTGGAAAAATACTTGTTCACTGAGTTATGCATATCATAAATGTTGATTGATTTTATTGCATAATATAAAAAAACTCATTTGTTACTATCATCACCATTCTCATAGAAAAGTCTTTCTTGTAAAATTTGCCAGGCTCACAGTAGCTGACACAAATTTTAAAAAATTTTAATATGTACTTGAAAGCTAAAATTTTATCACTGGCAGCAATACTTTCATTTTCTTTCTTAATTTTGACAGACTCAGTTCATTTTTAAGAAAATATCTGCCAGGTACCCATCTAAATAACCGTAAGTTTGTGTGTGGCTCTTTCAAGCAAAAGGGATGTTCCCTGACAAAAAGGGCCAGTTCTGCTCACAAACAATTTGTTTACTAGAGAAAACCATCATACCTGCTATAATGTTTAAAACAAATTTGCTGGCTGGGTGCAGTGGCTCATGCCTGTAATCCCAGCACTTTGGGAGGCTTAGGTGAGCGGATCGCCTGAGCTCAGGAGTTCATGACCAGTCTGGGCAACACAGTGAAACCCCATCTCTACTGAAATACAAAAAATTAGCTGGTCATAGCGGCCTGTACCTATAGTCCCAGCTACTTGGGAGGCTGAGGCAGGAGAATTGCTTGAACCTAGGAGGTGGAGGTTGCAGTGAGCCAAGATTGTGCCACTGCAATCCAGCCTGGGCAACAAGGTGAGACTCCATCTCAAAAAAAAAAAAAAGGAAGAAATTTGTCTTATTTTTACTGCAAGGATGTGGAAGTGAAGAATACAATGACTGCTAGTACAGTTTGGTGTCATTGTCTTGACTCATGCTAATGTGCCAGCAGTTTTACCCATCATTGACTTTTCATCACTAGTTCAATTTTGCAGAACAAGTAAGGCAAGTGAGGTAGGTGCCTAGGGTACCAAATTTAAGGACACCCTTACGCTCAGGGTCATGCAACCGACTTCAAGTGAGCACATTTTAAAAGGCAAATAATGTCTTAGAATTTATTTTGAAGAGTTGTTACTTTGCATTCCATGAATCATACTTTGAAAACGCTGATGTAAACAAAGGTCTAATATTTATTATTTTTCTGCTTATAAACCTTTGATGACCAAGGGTAATACCTAAACTCTTTACTGTAGTACATACGCTCCTTCATCAATTTCTTCCAGTCTATTTTTTTGTTTGTTTTCTTTTTTTTGAGACGGAGTTTCTCTCGTCGCCCAGTTTTGCTCGTGCAATGATGCCATCTCAGCTCACTGCAACCTCTGCCTCCCAGGTTTAAATGATTCTCCCATCTCAGCCTCCTGATTAGCTGAGATTACAGGCACACCATGCCCAGCTGATTTTGTATTTTTAGTAGAGATGGAGTTTCACCGTATTGGCCAGGCTGGTCTTGAACTAACCTCAGGTTATCTGAGATTATCCATTCAAAATGTAAGATATACCGGCCGGGCGCGGTGGCTCAAGCCTGTAATCCCAGCACTTTGGGAGGCCGAGGCGGGCGGATCACAAGGTCAAGAGATCGAGACCATCCTGGTCAACATGGTGAAACCCCGTCTCTACTAAAAATACAAAAAATTAGCTGGGCATGGTGGCACATGCCTGTAATCCCAGCTACTCGGGAGGCTGAGGCAGGAGAATTGCCTGAACCCAGGGGGCGGAGGTTGCGGTGAGCCGAGATTGCGCCATTGCACTCCAGCCTGGGTAACAAGAGCGAAACACCGTCTCAAAAAATAAAAATAAAAATAAAAAAGTAAGATATACCAATAGATTTTCACCTCGACCTCCCAAAGTGCTGGGGTTACAGGCGTGAGCCACTGTGCCCAGACTCTTCCAGTCTATTTTCCAACCCCATTTACAGTTCTCCCTCCCACTCCTTACCCTGTACTCCAGCCTAACCATGCTGTATGGTTTTATGATACTTGCTCTGCTTTGGATGTTCTTCATTTTGCAACCTTATTCTCATTTTTTATAGTGATTCAATGTCAGTTAAAATGTCACCTCCTTTCTAAAGCCTTCCCTGATTTCCCCAGAACAAATTTAATCACTTCTTTTTTTTCTCTTAGAACAAAACGTATCTGTACTATGGCACTTATCACACAGTTCAGTCTATTTACGTGACTACTCTCATACTATATTTAATTCAGTTAAGCAAGTCAGTTCCAGATGCTGTGCTTGGTTCCAGGAATATATAAATGAGCAAAGTTTTAAGACTTCATATTTTAAAGGGGAAACAAAACCAAGCAGATAATCACATTGTAATATGGCAAGTGCTATAATTGGATTATGAACCAAATGCTGTGGAGACAGAAGGAAACGACTAGATTTATGATTTAATTCTGTTTCTTGAGAGCATATTTTATTCATCTTTGTACTGTCTGTGGCTAGCACTGTGCTTAGCCTACAGTGGATAGACAACAGATATTGGTTAAATGAAGATTTTAAAGTGTCTCTTTTTCCCCCTTGTTTTTCAGAATGTAAGGTGTGGAGAAACCCTCTAAATCTTTTCGGAGGAGCAGAATATAGCTTACTGGTGGCCCCTACTGCACCTGGCTAATTTTTGTACTTTCAGGAGAGACAGGGTTTCATTATATTGGCCAGGCTGGTCTTAAACTCTTGACCTCAAGTGATCCTCTTGCCTCGGCTTCCCAAAGTGTCAGGGATTACAGGTGGTGAGCCACCATGCCCAGCCTAAGAGAAATTTCTTAGTATCAGAAATTCTTATGCTGCTTTTGAATGATTATTTTCTCTTAATATAAAAGTATTACTTTTTGGTGTATATTTCATATGTTAGCTCCATTCTAGGCTCCATTTTGTGTACCAGTTCCCAATCCTTAAGTTTTTTTTAACTAAGCCTTTTTTTTTTTTAAAGTTAAAAAATAGAGACAAGATCTCACTATATTGCTCAGACTGGTCTTGAGCTCTTTGCCTCAAGTGATCCTTCAGTTTCAGCCTCCCTAGTAGCTGGGATTATAGGTGCAAGCTACTGCACCCAGCCCAATTCAATTTTCAAAATCAATTGTTTATTGAATATTATTTTTCTATTTGGTATTTGATGTTTTGTTACCATACTCTAAGTAGATTGTGAGGTTATGTTTTGTTTTACTGATTATAAGATTTTAAAACATCCAAATGTGTAGCAGTATATTTTTGAATTTAAGTAGTGTCTGTTATAGCAGATAGATGCTTTCTCATGTCCAATTTAAATATTTTGTTGTGTTTTGGTAAAGATACACTTGGGTGACTGGTAAAGAGCCACTTACATACTATGACATGAACTTGTCAGCTCAGGACCTTCAGACCTTTTTCACCTGTGACACAGATTTTTTACGTCCTTCAGATACAGGTATGTGTCATATCTGCTCATAGTATAAACTGATCATGAAATTTTAAAAAAATTTTAAAGTTACTTATTATACAGCAGTATTTGGCTTGGAGTTGTTTATATTATTGATAAAACTCAGATTAAATTAAATTATAATTGTAAGCTAGGCTGATACACTGCTTTTCCTTATTAAAGAATTTAAAATATTTCATACTTCTTTTATTACTTAAAAAACCTTTCAGATCTAATATGGCAACTACTTTTCCAGAAAACAGTGTACCCTGTTTCAGTCTGGGAAATTTAACACCTGCAATTATACATCAAATAAAAGACTAGGACAATGTATAAACATTGGAGAATGGCATGTGAAGAAAACTGGAGTATATTTTGTTTTAGTTGTGAGTTAGAGATGCATATAAAGTGGTAGAAGATCATAGACGTTTCTGTGTTTAGTTTTCTCTAAGTGCTTATCTATAGAAGAGAGTATTGAGACTCTTAATTGTCTGGCTTAATGACAGGGCTCATTGATTGATTGATTGATTGAGTGATGGTTTCACTCAGTTTCCAGGCTGGAGTGTAGTGGTGCAATCATAGCTCCCTCAAACTCATTACAAAACATTAGAATTATATCCATGAGCCACAGTTTTTCTTCTACTTTGAATGCACTCACCCTCTTTATTTATCTGATGAGTATTAATGAAGGGGTTTCACCACGATGGCTAGGCTGGTCTTGAACTCCTGACCTCAGGTGATCCACCCACCTTGGCTTCCCAAAGTGCTGGGATTACAAGCGTGAGCCACCGCGCCCAACCCTGATGAGTTGCTTTTATCCTTCATTATCCAAATTAAAAGCCACATTTTCTAGAAAGCCTTCTCTGGGATTCCTTGCCACAGAGTTCAATACTTTGTTTTCTGCAATTCTATACTACTTAGTCTAAACCTCTATGAAGTAACTTCAGCTATTCAACCACAAACATTTACATGTTAGTGTTATCACATTGCTTTAATGTTTGTCTTTATTACTAGGGTATGAACTTTTGGAGAGCAGGGACTACATTCTCTTCATCTTTGAATTCCTATTATCCAGCACATTAGCCTGGCATAATGTAGATATTGATATTTATTCTTTGATGAAAGTATAAATGAATGAATGGCCTAGGTGTCACAGATGTCTTAAGCAGTTTCACTAATAATAGCTAAGGCTTGTCTAGGCTTACTATGTGCCAGGCATTGTTTTTAATCTTCCCAGTCACTTTATGAGATAGGTACCACTATCAGCCCTGTTTTAACAGTAATGAAACCAAAGCAAAGGGGGATCAAGTAATATGCCTTGAGTCGCACAGCTAATAATGATAAAACTGTGTTTTAAACTCAAGATTGGCTGTTAATCACTACACTATTACTGCTGCTACCCACCGTAAACTCACTGAAGGGTCTGAAAAATAGCCAGTTTCCTGCATTAAAAAGAGTTCATAGTGATTTATCTTTGCTAGATTAAATGTGTTAAGAGTGGTTGACAGGAGGAAAACCAAGGATCTTTGATATGGTTACATAAAATGGTTTAATTGCAAATAAAGGAGTAAAAAGAATAGACTTATGTTTATATACTTTATATTTATGGCAAAATGATAGGTGCTGGGGAAATAACAGCAGTACAATATCAGTATTGTATGGTAACTTTAAGGGTTGAGTGACTCTGGAAGTTAGGCCTCACCACCCTTTCTCTCACAGCCCCTCTCACAGAGTAACACTGAATTGAAAACATCAGCAGGTGTTTAAAATAGCAATCATGACTGTCTACTAAAGGTGTGGTATTAAAATACCATATTTTTATTTGAATAACTCCTAAAAGAATTTTGGAAAAGAGTATGTCCCTTCACACATTTTAAGTTCACCATTATAAGGTTAAATAATCATAGATAATGTAATTTTTGACAAACTGCAAAATACATTTAAAAATAATAGTATACCCTATATTTCAATGTGTGTTATGAAATGAAATGATTTAATGCCCACCACATCCATTGAAAAAGACATGAATAGGCCAAGGGCAGTGCCTCATGCCTGTAATCCAAGCACTTTGGGAGGCCAAGGTGGGAGCATCCTGTGAGTCCAGGAGTTCAAGATCAGCCTGGGCAACATACTGAGACATGATTTATATCAGTAGTTTTATGTTCAGAAATACAAATGTGTGTATTTGTGATGTGGCAAATTTCTCTTGACTTATTGTCATCAAAACTAATTAGTAGATTTTGTTCTTATTCTATTAATTATCTAGGACAGAGAACAAACATCTCCACAAGGGCCCAGCAATGGTTTTTTTTTTGGATTTTTTTCTTCAACATTTAAAAATCAGGAGAATTTACATTAAAATCTAAAGTTACACCTTTTGAAGGTTGAAAAATAGGGCAAAATTGAACCTGCGTTTACACTTGGAACTGAGTTGTGGCTCTCCCCTTTAGACAGGGAATGTGCTTTCACTTTACTCATTTATGTTTAATGCCTGGAATTTGTAGCATTTACATTTATGACCCCTGGCCTTATGATAACTGCTGATCTGTTTTGTGCTTGTTAGCGTATTACAATATTATTTAACTTTAAAAATACATAAGTTTTGTCTGGGTGGCTCATGCCTGTAATCCCAGCACTTTGTAAGGCCGAAGCAGGCAGATCACCTGAGGTTGGGGGTTTGAGACCAGCCTGACCAACATGGAGAAACCTCGTCTCTACTAAAAATACAAAAAATTAGCTGGGTGTGGTGGCGGCTGCCTGTAATCTCAGCTACTTGGGAGGCTGAGATAGGAGAATTGCTTGAACCCGGGAGGCAGAGGTTGCAGTGAACCGAGATGGCACCACTGCACTCTAGCCTGGATGACAGAGTGGAACTCAGTCTCAAAAAAACAAAAACAAAAACACACAAAAATACATAAATTTGAGTGAATTGCTCATTGCTTCTGTTAATTATGTATTCAGCATATCAAGAGTTCTTAGAACAGTTGAATACCAAATCAGCATTTTGTTTTAAATTACTCCTAAGCCTTATTTTAGGAAAAAATACATATTTTTTCCTGTCAACTTTATTTCTTCTTTTCCCTTAGGCTTAGCACTGCTTTGGTTGTGAAGAGTATTCTTGAAAAGCCCATAGAGTATTTGAAAACAAAAGAATAAGATAATATATTTAAAGGTGAATTAGATGACCGCACTAGAAATTTTAAAAATCACAAATGAAAATGAGATAAGTTTCAGATGTTAAATTAGCAAAGATTGATTATATTGTGTTAAAGTGTTAAATTAGCAAAGAATGATCATACTGTGTTACCCTGGCTGAAAAGGTGTAAGTTAATACAGCCTTACTGCAAGGAGTTTGGGTAATATGTATCCATAATCTTTTTTTTTTCTCCTGTTTCCCCAAACTTGTTACATATCCAGAATCTTTTAAAAGATACATTTTTTTTAGCCAGCTGTTCTACTTTTAGAAGGGAAATATTTGATTAGATATGAAAAGATACCTAGAGAAAGATTGTTATTACAATGTTTTTATATTAGCAAAAAATTTAGTATAACTTAATTGAGCATCAAAAGGAAATTGGTTAAATAAATTATGGCATGTATTTAATATACTAGAGTACCAAATAACAGTTTAAAATGTTATTAAAAATTCAGTGTCAAAATTTGAGTTGTAAATATCATATAACTCATAGAAGATAGCCTGTAATCAAAAATTACAAGTCTAATATTATGCATTATTTTAATGTAATATTTAGTGTTGCAGCAGAATGATGTTCTTTACCTGGCCAGGATCAGATGGGTGCTGACTTGCATCTATTTGTCAAGTTCAGGAAGCATTAGGTGTCAGCTAGCTGGTGACATGTTTCATATGAGAAATGTATTTTTGTTACACAAGTGGAATACATTGTCTCCTTTTCTAAGCCAAGACTAATGTTTTGTTTCCAAAGGAAAATTCAAACATTTTTCACATTATTCTTCCTGGACAGTTGTAGGTTTTATTCCAAAAGCAACACTTACATGTTCTCTATTTTTCTTATCAAACTTGAAATGGGCCAGGTAATCTTCTGAGTCTGAGTCTACTTTATTTGTTTGTTGATTATTAATTAAAGAAAACTTTACTTACTGTGAAGTCTTCATTTTGGCACAGTAAATCATAGCAAAATTAATATTCCAAAGAACTCCTAACTTAGGCCTTTGTTGAATCCTGATAGAGGCTGACGTTTTCAAGACGTACTATATTCTAAATTAATTTCCCTTTTTTTTTTTTTGAGTCAAAGTCTTATTCTTGTCACCCAGGCTGGAGTGCGATGGTGTGATCTTGGCTCATCCAACTTCCCCCTCCCGGGTTGAAGCAATTCTCCTGCCTCAGCCTACTGAGTAGCTGGATTACAGGCGCCTGCCAGCATGCCTGGCTAATTTTTGTATTTTTAGTAGAGACAAGGCTTTTATGTTGGTCAGGCTGGTCTCGAACTCTCAACCTCAGGTGATCCGCCCACCTCAGCTTCCCAAAGGGCAAGGATTACAGGCATGAGCCACTGTGCCTGGCCTTTTTTGCCGTTTTTGCACAAAATGCAAGTCCATAAAGTCTTCCTAGAGTAAATCAATCATTAGGCAAAGACTTCGTTTTTAAATTTTTGTGTATTTTTGTTTTTAGCAGCTCCATAGAACCTTTTCAGAGTGATAAAAGTACAACTGTAAGCCGGGCGCGGTGGCTCAAGCCTGTAATCCCAGCACTTTGGGAGGCCGAGGCAGGTGGATCACGAGGTCGAGAGATCGAGACCATCCTGGTCAACATGGTGAAACCCCGTCTCTACTAAAAACACAAAAAATTAGCTGGGCATGGTGGCTCGTGCCTGTAATCCCAGCTGCTCAGGAGGCTGAGGCAAGAGAATTGCCTGAACCCAGGAGGCGGAGGTTGCGGTGAGCCGAGATCGCGCCATTGCACTCCAGCCTGGGTAACAAGAGCGAAACTCTGTCTCAAAAAAAAAAAAAAAAAAAAAAAAAAAAAAAAAAAGTACAACTGTAGAGCCGGGCGCGGTGGCTTATGCCTGTAATCCCAGCACTTTGGGAGGCTGAGGCGGGTGGATCACGAGGTCAAGACATCGAGACCATCCTGGTCAACATGGTGAAACCCCGTCTCTACTAAAAATACAAAAAATTAGCTGGGCATGGTGGTGCGTGCCGTAATCCCAGCTACTCAGGAGGCTGAGGCAGGAGAATTGCGTGAACCCAGGAGGCGGAGGTTGCGGTGAGCCGAGATCGCGCCATTGCACTCCAGCCTGGGTAACAAGAGTGAAACTCCGTCTCAAAAAAAAAAAAAAAAAAAAGTACAACTGTAATATTTTATATTGACTATAATGTGATGTTCACTTATACATGAACATTTAGATATATAAATGTTCATGTATAATAGTGATATAATTAACTTGTTTAAGTACCCTATATGTTGTTGAAAGAAATCTGAGAAAGAATATATTTGTTTATATTTTATGTGAAGCTTCCAAATTTAATGTAAATTTCTCATATGGCTAATGTGAGCTAATAACCCAGTTTCTTGTTTCGTATGTTTAAGAATATATTATTTAAAGCTCTGTTTACTCCATTAGCTTATTCTTCAAACATTTTGCAGATTATTTGTTTACCATCTCATCTACTTTTTGAAACATTTTTTCTACAGTTATGCAGAAGGCATGGAGGGAAAGAAATCCTCCAGCTTGAATCAAAGCAGCCTATCAAGCTTTAGAATTAAACAATGAGTAAGTTTGAAATACATGAAAAATAAATTTATTTTGAAGGAAACCAAGACAAATGATTTTTTTGAGACACAGTGTTGCTCTGTCGCCAGGCTGGAGTACAGTGGTGTTATCTTGGCTAACTGCAACCTCCGCCTCCTGGGTTCAAGTGATTCTCTTGCGTCAACCTCTTGAGTAGCTGGGACTACAGGCACACGTGCCACCACACCCAGCTAATGTTTGTCTTTTTAGTAGAGACAGGATTTCACCATGTTGGCCAGAATGGTCTTGATCTCCTGACCTCACGAGATCAGGAGATTGGCCTGATCTCAGCCTCCCAAAGTGCTGGGATTACAGGCGTGAGCCACTGCACCTGGCCAAGCAAATGATTTTTATGTCTCCTTTTGTCTGTTCCTACAACACTTGGAGTCATTAGTGGTCCCATTTCCCTTTTGCATGTTATATTTAATAAAATTGTTTATATTTAATAAAATTTTCAACATTTGCCAACATCTGTATTTTGCTTCTGAAATTGTAAACCTATATATGCTTTTGAATAGAAATTATGCTAGAAATACTTTTCAAAGTGGGGAATGCTCATGGAGAATGGTGATAATACTTTTTTTTTTTTTTTTTTTTTTTTTTTGTGTGAGATGGAGTTTCGCTCTTGTTACCCAGGCTGGAGTGCAATGGCACGATCTCGGCTCACCGCAACCTCCTCCACCTGGGTTCAGGCCATTCTCCTGCCTCAGCCTCCTGAGTAGCTGGGATTACAGGCACGCGCCACCATGCCCAGCTAATTTTTTGTATTTTTAGTAGAGACGGGGTTTCACCATGTTGACCAGAATGGTCTCGATCTCTTGACCTTGTGATCCGCCCACCTCAGCCTCCCGGTGATAATACTTTATAGTTAAAAGGGTACTAAAATACTAATGTACTTATGCCACCTGTTGTAATTTTTTCATTTAAGTCATTAAAGCATTCATTCAATCTTGAGTATTTTAGTTGTTAGTGGACTTGAAGGCATGAGAAGGGGATTAAAAATAAGTAAAACAAAGCTCTGTCAAGTTTATTTTTTTCCACATTAGCAGCATTTTTTATAGTTCTTTGTATGAACTTTATATTTTGAAAAGGCAGAATGTGAAATCATAAGGCAAGTTAATATTTACAAGGAACAGATCAATAAACACTAATCTAATGCAGACTGAATAAATGCCAAGAGTGAAAATATGGTTCCAGTTGGGATTTATCAAGGAATGCTTCCTGAATAATGTAAATTTAGAGTTGTTCCCTGAACCTTCTCTCCCTAGTATATATATTAACCTCATTTTTTGTTTGTTTGTTTGTTTTATTTTGTTTCAAGATGAAGTTTTGCTCTTGTTGCCCAGGCTGGAGTGCAGTGGCGCAATCTTGGCTCACTGTAGCCTCCGCCTCCCAGGTTCAAGCGATTCTCTTGCCTCAGCCTCCCAGATAGCTGGGATTACTGGCGTCTGCCACCACACCTGGCTAATTTTTTGTATTTTTAGTAGAGACAGGTTTTTATCATGTTGGCCAGGCTGGTCTTGAACTTCTGACCTCAAGTGATCCACCCACCTTGGCCTCCCAAAGTGCAGGGATTACATGTATGAGCCACCATACCTTGGCCTAGTATATATGTTATTCTTACTACGAATACTTTCCCAAGGTGGAGCAAAAATGTCAGAGTAAAGAACTCCGAAATAGTAAACTGGCAGAAACTGTCAGCATCAACTTTGTTAAAACTCTGGAAACTAATCAAAAGTTTTCAGTAACCTAGTAAATGCTTAATCAAGGGGGAAAACACCTGAAATCTCTCTAAGAAAGCTTTGTAGTATTTTATTTACCCTTGCCCCATTCCTCACTCCTTAGCTCAGTGACAGTCTTGAAGACAACAGTGTACATGCCAGGTATAGGTTTCTAGTACCAGAGGACCTGGAATGGACCTTATTTTCAAAGAACTGTGGTTGTTTGTTTTGCCCTGTCTGGTGGCTCCCTGAAGGACTAGCTCAAAGGGCTTGCTTTATTTCAACTTACTGAAAGAAGAGAGTTTTCAATTTCAAAACTCTTGCAAAACTGACATAACTACACTTGGGTCATTTGCTGAAAACATTGAAAGGCAAATACATCAGCTGTTACTGCCTGGGGCGAGGGATAACAGGAAGGACAAGCAACGGACAAACCAGAAAACTTGTGAGCAAAGGCTGGGGAATTAGACACTTTTAGAAATAAAGGCTTTGAAAAACTCCCACATATTTCTGGGAATCTAAAGACCCTACACACAGCCAAAGCTGGGCACATGTTCAGAAGAGACTTGAGAAAGTCCTAAACTCTCAAGTCTGGCTAACCTTCATGTTCTGCACAAGTAGGAGGTGAAGGCTAAGGCAGAGTTGTAAACTGTTAGGCTGAATATTGAAGCTATGCCCTAGCACCCACACAGAGCCCATTTGCAAATACTTTTACTGTTTGTGTTTTGTTTGGTTTTGATCTCAGGCATTTAAGGAAATCTCTATCTAATCATCAAATGACCACGAGGCTACAATAGCACAGATGTCACTGGTCACACATGACAAATAATACAGATTTTATAAAACTGGTTCAGAAAAGTCACTAAACAACTGCAGAAGTAGCAACAACAAACTCTAGGGAGTAGAGAATATTATATTTCTAGAGTTGCTAAAATAAAATATTTAGAATTTCCCATTTTCAACAAAAAATTACAAGGCATGCAAAGAAACAAGAAAACATGCCCCATACATAGGAAAGAAAAGAAATTAGGCTGAGTCTGGTGGCTTATACCTGTAGTCCCAACACTTTGGGAGGCCAGGGCAGAAGGATTGCTTGAGCTCAGGAGTTTGAGACCAGCCTGGGAAACATAAAGAGACCATGTCTCAAAAAAGTAAATAAAAAGACAAGAAATTAATAGAAAAGAGTACCCCTGTGAAGCCTAGACTTTGGACTTAATAAACAAAAAGTTTAAATCAACTTATGTTAAATGTGCTCAAGGAGGTAAAGGAAACCATGATAATGATATCTCACCATTAGAGAATATCAGTAAAGAGGAAGAAATAATAAAAAGGACCCAAATAGAAATTTCAGAATTAAAAAAGTTAACTAAAATGAAAAATATACCATAGGTGTTCAGCAGCAAGCAGGTTTGAGCAGACAGAAGCAAGAACCAGTGAATTTCATTTAAGTCAATTGAGATTACCCAATTCAAGGAGCAGGAAAAAATTAAGGAATAAAGAAATATGACCTAAGAGAACTGTAGGATGCTATCAAGCATACCAATCTATGCATTATAGGAGTTCCAAAAAAGAAAGAAAAGGGCAGAAAGAATATTTGAAGAAATAATAGCTGAAAACAAAATAATAGCGCACCAGTTACAGCACCGTATTAAAAAACGTTATACACCTTGAACAAGTAGCATTTATTCCTGGATGCAAGAATGGTTAAACATTTGAAAATCAGTCAATGTAGCACACTATATGAACAGAATGAAGCAAGAAACCACATGATTATCTCAACTGATGTAGAAAAAGCATTTGACAAAATTCCCAATCTTGATAAATAAATGGAAATCAATTAATGTAATACTCCACATTAATAGACCAAAGGACAAGAGCTACATGATCATCTCAATTGATGAAAAAAAGATCTGATAAATTCCAACACCATTTTATGATGAAAATATTTAAAAACTAGGAATGGAAGGAAATTTCACAAGAACATCTGAAAAATGCATTCTAAATACATACTTACTGATGAAAGACTGAAAGGTTTCCCTCCACAGTCAGGAAGAAGGCAGGACATCTGTAGTTGCACTTCTGTGTTACATGGTGTACTGGAGGTTCTAGTCAGTGCAGTTAGGCAAGACAAATTTTTACATGGCATTTAAATTGGAAAGGAAAAAGTAAAATTATCTTCAAACACAAATGGCATGATTTTATTTGTAGAAAACCTTAATCCACAAAAAAAGAAAAAAATCTAGAGCTAATGAAAGAGTTGACAAAATTGTAAGAAACAAAATCAACATGTGAAAATCAGTTGGATATCTATATCCTAGCTGTGAACAATGAAAAGGAAATTAAGAAAAAAATTCCATTTACAAAGGCACCAGAAAGATTTAAATACTTAGGAATACATTTAATCAAGGAGGTCTAAGATTTGGATGCTAAAAACTATAAAGCATAAGTTAAATAAATGAAAAGACACCTTATGTTCATGGATTGGAAGACATTGTTAGAATAGCAGTACTCCCTAAATTGATCTACAGATTCAGTGCAATTCCTATAAAAATTCTAATTACTATTTCTGCAGAAATGGCCAAGGTGACCCTATAATTCATATAGAACTGCAAGAGGCCCTTAGTACCAAAACAATCTTGAAATAGAAGCACAGCATTGGAAGACTTACACTACCTGATTTTAAAACTTACTGCTAAGCTACAGTAGTTAAATCATAAGGATAGACACCTAGATCAATGGATTTAAATTGAGATTCCAGAAATAAACCCATATATCTATGGTCAGTTGATTTTTTTTTTTTTTTTTTTTTTTTTTTTTTTTTTTTTTTTTTTTTGAGATGGAGTTGTGCTCTTTTTGCCCAGGCTGAAGTGCAATGGCACAATCTTGGCTCACTGCAACCTCCACTTTCTTGGTTTAGGTGATTCTCCTGCCTCAGCCTCCTGAGTAGCTGGGATTACAGGCATGTGCCACCATGCTCGGCTATTTTGTATTTTTAGTTGAGACAGGGTTTCTCTATGTTGGTCAGGCTGATCTTGAACTCCTGACCTCAGGTGATCACCCACCTTGCCCTCCCAAAGTGCTGGGATTACAGGCATATGCCACCATGCCTGGCCATGATCTTTGACAAGGGTGTCAAAACCATTCAGTGGAGGAAAGAATAGTCTGTTTAACAATGACGGTGGAACAACTGGATAGCCACATATATAAAAGCATAAAGGTAGTCTCTTACCTCATACCATATGTCCCAATTAATTTAAAAATCAATCAAGGACTAAACGGAAGGGTTCAAACTACAGAACTCGTAGAAGAAAGCATAGGGACAAATCATCACCTTGAATTACAAAGTGGTCTCATAGATTATAACACCAAAAGTACAAGCAGCAAAAGAAAAATTAGATAAATGGACTTTATCAAAATTAAAATATTTTGTGCATCAAAGGACACTGTTAAGAGGTAGAAGTAGATTTGAGATTGCCAGAGTTTGAAGAGGCAAGGGAGATAGGGAGTGACTACTTTATAGGTATGGGGTTTCTTGTGGGGAGGATGAAAATGTTCTGGAATTACATTGTGGTGATACATAACTTTGTGAATATATTAAAAATTATTGAATTGTATACTTTAAAATGCTTTAAACTGTAACCCTTATGTGAATTTTACCTCAATTTACAAAACCAACATTCTTCAAAGTAAGATTAATTAGGTATTCACATAATTAATCTCCTGAATTAATATCCATATAAAATACTTTTGAACAAATGCAAGAAAACTTTAAGGGGGAAAAAATCTTTTTACCATACAGCCATACAATCATTTTTTAAAAGTATGTTTTTTTCCCCTCATTTCATCCTGTATTTTAAAATAAATGTTTTCTTCATATAGATTTTTTTCTCCCTTGGGGGAAAAAAAACAAAAACAAGATAATTCAAATACAGTAAAAACAATGAACAATAATTCAGGATATTAGGTTCCAGGCAGTTCAAAAACAGTGAAATGGTTCTTTTTTTCCACCAGAATACACAATGGCAGAACTTAAGAATTACGATACTAAAATGGAGGGATAGTCCCAGCAGCTGCCCCTGGCCGGCTGGAACACACAGCACTACCCAGGCAGAGTCAGTGGGCATCCTCATGCCAGCCTGCCTATCGCTCTATTCCAGCTAGCCTCCTGGCACAGGGCTGGGCCCACATCCTGGCCTCTGCATCTTGATCTGGGCTGGGGCCGGTTGGCCTGGACACTCTGGCCATTGCTCATGCTGGAAATCCGTCACAGGCTAAGTCACCTCCTTCAAAGCCAGGCCTCTCTCTCCCAGATGCCAGTGAGGGAAAACAGATGCCCAGTCCACAAATCAGGAGTGTTAGACTACAAAACATTCAAACGTTCACAGGGCAGAACACGTAGACGTAATCTCTCTAATCTCTGCCACCTAATGACACATATGTGACACAGCAGCCACATCTGCAATGCCTCTAGGGGCATCAAAAAAAGTGTTTTTTATTCCATTTCATTTGGTTTTTGGAATGGCAGTCAGGAACCCTAGTGTTTTTGTTTTTGTTTTTGTTTTTGTTTTTGTTTAGGGACAGGGTCTTGCTCTGTTGCCCAGGCTGGAGTGCAGTGGTAAAATGATAGCTTCATTGTAACCTCAAACTCCTAGGCTTAAGCAGTCCTCTTGCTTTAGCCTCTGAAGTAGCTAGGACTACAGGTGCACACCACTACACCCAGTTAATTTTTAAATCTTTATTTTTCTTTTTGTAGAGGCAGGGTCTCATTTTGTTGCCCAGGCTAGTCTCAAACTACTGGCCTCAAGTGATTGTCCTGCCTTGGCCTCCCAAAGTGCTAAGATTATAGGCATGAACCACTGCGCCTAGGCAGGAAGGCCAGTGTTTAAAGCAGTAGTATATCTAATGCTTCACAAGGATCTAGTGTAATGAAATGGAGAAATCTTTGTTGATTAGTGAAATCATTATGTACTATAGGGTCTTCCTATTTGAAGGATGATGAAATGGTATGATTTGCATTTTCCATATCTGAAGAACATTTTTTGTCTCCACTCAATGATTTCTACCTGCTATCACTTTTGTTTAATGCTTAGTTTTCTATGTTTATCAATAATTTCTCTCCTCTTGCTTTAATCATTAGATAAGCATTAATTATTAGAAATAACATTGCAAGCCACATATGTAACTTTACATTTTCTAGTGTCCACATTTAAAAAGTAAAAAGAAATAGGTGAAATTAATCTGTATGTTTTATTTAGCTGTATTCAAAATATTGAAATACTTGATTTTTTTATTTTTTATTTTTATTTTTTGAGATGGAGTCTCACTCTGTCACCAGGCTGGAGTGCAGTTGTGCGATTTCGAGTCACTGCAGTCTCCACCTTTTGGGTTCAAGGGATTCTCCTGCCTCAGCCTCCTGAGTAGCTGGGACTACAGGCGTGCTGCCACACCCAGCTAATTTTTGTATTTTTAGTAGAGATGGGGTTTCAGCGTGTTGGCCAGGATGGTCTTGATCTCCTGATCTCGTGGTCCACCCACCTGGGCCTCCCAAAGTGCTGGGATTACAGGCGTGAACCATCGCGCCCGGCCTAAAATATTTTAACATATAAGTCAATACTTTTCTAAAATCTATTAACGAGAAACTTTACATTCTTCTAAGTCTTCAAAATTCATTGTGTGTTTTTATACTTGCATCACATCTCAATTCCAACTTGTCATATTTCAAGTTCTCAATAACTATATGTGGCTAATGCCTAGAATACTGGACAGTGCAGGCTTAGATAATTACAACTAGGACATTGTCTCTAGAAGAGATGGGTTTGTTATTTCTGGGAGTGGAATAAGATTTTGTTTCTCTTTGTGGCCCCAAAACAAGAATTTGTTTTTTAGCCAGCTGTTAACTTAAAAGATACAAAGGGCTGAGCATGGTAGCTCATGCCTGTAATCTCAGGACTTTGGGAGGCCAGGGTGGGCAGATCATGTGGTCAGAAGTTCGAGACCAGCCTGACCAACATGGTGAAACCCTATCTCTACTAAAGAAATACAAAAATTAGCTGGGCGTGGTGACGTGTGCCTGTAAGCCTACCTACTCAGGAGGCTGAGGCAGGAGAATCACTTGAATCCAAGAGGTGAAGCTTGCATTGAGCTGAGATTGTGACATTGCACTCTAGTCTCGGCAACAGAGTGAGACTCCATCTCAAAAAAAAAGAAAAAGAAAAAAAAAAGATACAAAGAATAGCCTCTGTGTTTTAGTGGGGTGAAGAAAAGAAAACTTAGCATAAGCATTGTTGTGAGGAATGAATGAGAGTAGGAGTATGGGAGGAAGGACTTGAATTTAGAACAAGGGAAATTATACTGCATAATATTGTGGGTAAGTCCATGGGAGGATGGGACAGAATGCAGAGAGGCGTGCTCAGATTTGGGGAAAATGTCTAGTCCTGGAATATGTTTCTGAGTTAGATGTTAAACGTGCCTAGTTGGCCAAAGGACTGTCTTCCCAACCTTCACCCTCCCTATACCTGCCCCGTGAAATGGATATCATAAAGTATATAATGACTAAATCAGGTGTGACCAGCCGGGCACAGTGGCTCACTCCTGTAATTCCAGCACTTTGGAAGATTGAGGCAGGTGGATCAAGTGAGGTCAGAAGTTTCAGACCAGCCTGGCCGGCATGGTGAAACCCCATCTCTACTAAAAATACGAAAAGTAGCTGGTCATGGTGGCACATGGCTGTAATCCCAGCTACTCAGGAACTGAGGCAGGAGAATTGCTTGAACCCTGGGAGACAGAGGTTGCAGTGAGCCAAGATCGGGCCATTGCACTCCAGCCTAGGCGACAAGAGTGAAACCCAGTCCAAAAAAAAGGCAGATATGACCACTAGAGGGTATAGTCTTCTGAGTGACAATTCAGATAATTCTTTATATATCTTTTTTTCTCCCCCCTTTCACAAAAAGAAAATGCAGGACAATGGGTTAGAGAATGAAACAGAATTTTTTTTTTAAAAGGACAAGATAAAGAGCAGAAGGGAAAGATAAGAGAGCAGAAAAATTGTGGAATCAGACAAAGAATATACCAATATGTCCCTATTAAAGTAAAATATTGAATGAAGTTTTTTTTTTTTTCTTCAAAAGGTGGGAAAAGTATAGGAAAGGAAATATGACATAGAGCAAAGGGACATAACCAAGATAAAATATTTGCTATATTATTTTATTTAAAATTGCCTTCCTGCTTTCTTCATAGCTGTGCCACTGCATACATTCTACTGGCTGAGGCAGAAGCAACAACTATTGTAGATGCTGAAAGGTTATTTAAACAGGCACTCGAGGCAGGAGAAACAATTTATAGGCGGCCACAGCAATGCCAGCACCAAAGTCCTCAGCATGAAGCTCAACTGAGTAAGCAAGTTTGAACTGCTTATTGCTGTCTTTTAGCTCCTCAGATTTGCTTGTGTCTTAACACAAAACAACAGTAATAAAAAAACGTAATACTTACAGGTTAGTTAATTTTCACTGGAAATAACTAATCTATTCGTGATACCTACAAGCCAGCAAGACAGAAATGCGTATTAGCCAGAGAAAGCTTACGGAAGGGCATAGGTCTGCTCAGGTTATTGAGAGAAGATGTGCTGCTCTGAGACTTAACAGTAATTTATTTCATGTGAGAATTGGGCCATTCATTGAAAAAACATAACTCAAAAACATTCAGCATTCAGGAGAGGCTTCTAGTGATAATAAGCAGCTCTTAATCTTTATCCTCACCCTTACTCTAAGCAAGTGTAAAGGTACATTATTTGGTTTGCTCTTCAGACTGTGTATCTGCATATAGTGCTAGGGAGTGGCTCCTTTCACACCATCTGATTCTTAGCCCTAAATCCAGCCTCATACTTGGCACTGATTCTTTCTTTGGTTGGTTTTCTCCATGATGTGCTTGGGATCAGATGAATCATAGCAACAGAAGTCTTTTCGATTCTTAGATATGCTTTACCAATTATGATTGAGATTTTTTTTTACCAAAGATGTTACAATCATCAATGATGCTGCTTCCTGCTACTTTTATGGCCAGTGGGTTTTGGTTTCATGATTTTGGCAAATAGTGAAGTGGGAAATAAATTGAAATATGTTTATATAATGTATTATCTACTAGCAGTTAAGTTCTAAATATTTTTTTGTTTGTAAATTAAAATTCGGAGAATGTTTTTCTCCCTAAGCTAAATACTGATATGTATGGTATGTTTCATTGATGCACATTTTTATAACACACATTTGTGGGAATATATAATTTTGTAGCCTGAACTAATGAAACTACATCTGTAAAAAAGTCATGCCATTTGTCTTTGTATAATCTCAAATATGGTTATGAGATAGTTACAGAAATATTTGTTAGCTCTTTCTAGAAGTAGTTTTTTGTTTTTTGTTTTTTTTTTTTGAGACGGAGTTTTGCTCTTGTTACCCAGGCTGGAGTGCAATGGCGCGATCTCGGCTCACCGCAACCTCCGCCTCCTGGGTTCAAGCAATTCTCCTGCCTCAGCCTCCTGAGTAGCTGGGATTACAGGCACGCGCCACCATGCCCAGTTATTTTTTGTATTTTTAGTAGAGACGGGGTTTCACCATGTTGACCAGGATGGTCTCGATCTCTTGACCTCGTGATCCACCCGCCTCGGCCTCCCAAAGTGCTGGGATTACAGGCGTGAGCCCCCACGCCCGGCCTAGAAGTAGTTTTATAGTTTGTCAATTACTCACTGTTAAGAAAAGTTTACATTAGCCATGGAAACTTTATTTTGGACTTTTTTGTTTTTCAATTAAAACAATAGAGAATATCAGAATAATAGATCATTTACGCACAAACTTAAAATACTAGGTTAATGTTATATCTTTCTTTTAATGTATGTATGTATTTTCCTTTTATGTTGAAATAAACTTATCAATCATACACCAATTATATATGCTATACTTAGGTTACTATGAGAGGCAAAAATAATTAAATGTGTATTTTAAGTTTTAATACAGAAAACTTAAAACATGCACAAAAATAGAGAACATTCCTGTTCAATATTCATCATCCAAATGTAGCCATAATTAATTAGTATTCTTCCATTCTGACACAATTTAATTTTAATTGAATCTTCCAAGGGAAGCAAATAACATAAGTGGATATGTTAATGAAATAGCAGCCCACAATAGAAAGTGATAGTTGTATTTTTTTTATTCTAAATAGGGAGAGATACCAATGTACTGGTATATATTAAAAGAAGATTGGCAATGTGTGCAAGAAAATTAGGAAGAATAAGAGAAGCAGTAAAAATAATGAGAAATGTAAGTAAATTGATGGTGGGACTATTACATTTATCCTCCACAAACTAAACTATAGTTAAGTTGCTAGTTATTTTAATGCAGAGTCACTGTTTTTTAATTGGTAGTTTTTAGAACAAGGTGTTTATTTAATATATGTACCTTTCTTAAGGGTTAGGTCTTCATAGCTATGTTAAGAAACAAGAATTTCTACTTTAATGAATCTGGCTCAGCTCTATTGAGTTCCTTTGTTATGATTTTAATCTTTTTTTCCTTTTAATATACAGTTGATGAAAGAATTTCCTCCTCTTACCATGTTGAACATCCATGAAAATCTCTTAGAATCACTTTTAGAATTACAGGCCTATGCAGATGTTCAGGCAGTCCTAGCAAAATATGATGGTGAGTCGTATTCCCTTAGTTGATAGCATTGTTATTCTTTTCCGATGATGTAATTATAAATATGGTTATATTCTAGTATTTATCTAATTTTCTCTATTTTACCAGTCAATATTTAGCACACACTGAGTTTGCTGTTAAGTATCTTCTTTATCAGGACTTTTATTAGCAAAAGACTGCAAGGAAGAACTTTTCTTCTGTCAAGATTTACTTGTTTGTTGATGGAGTGCCTAATATCAGTGAGGCATTCAGAACATGATAGTGAACAAGACAACAATGGGAGGCTGGGAGTGATGACTCATACCTGTAATCCCAGCACTTTGGGAGGCTGAGGCGGGAGGATCACCTGAGCCCAGGAGTCGGAGACTGGCATGGGCAACATGGCAAGACTCTGTCTCTACAAAAAAAGTTAACTGGGCATAGTGTTGTGCACCTGTAGTTCCAGCCTCTTCGGAAGCTAAGGTGAGAGGATTACTTGAGCCTAGGAGGTTCAGGCTGTAGAGAGCTGTGATTGCACCACTATAGTCCAGCCTAGGCAACAGAGAGAGGAAGAAGACTGTCTCAAAAAAAAAAAAAAAAGAAGAAGAAGGGAGGCCTCATAGGATTTACAGTTTAGTGGAACTGTAAACTGAGCTGTGATTGCACCACTGTAGACCAGCCTATGCAACAGAGGGAAGAGACTGTCTCAAAAAAAAGAAGAAGAAGAAGGGAAGCCCTCATAGGATTTATAGTTTAGTGGACAGTACAAACAAATGAGCAGCAATTACATTGAAGACTGAGTGTTTGGTGAGATAACTGGAAAAGTGTGGGTGTTATGCACATAGTGGGGGTACCTCATTTATTTTGGAGTGTCAAGCAAGGCTAACAGAGAAGTTGCTTAGTGGCATTTACTATAAGAGCAATTCAGAGTAACATTTTTACAATGCTTGTTAGTTACAAAATGCAATGATAATTTGATATTTATAATAGTCTTGTGATGTGGTAAGACAAGTATTTTTACTGTCTCCAATTACTAAATAAGGAAACTGGAGTTTAAGAAGGTTGAAGTATTGGGGTAAGTGCTCCCAGCCAGTAAAAGGCAAATCCAGGTGTTTAATTTCTTTGTTCACTTGTCTTCCCATGGTAACAATTCAATATATATTGGTTATTTTTGTTATTATGTTATAATAATAGCAGTTTACCACACATGAAGTTTGGAGAATTTTAAAGACAAAGCCTTTCTTCTTATCCTAAGAGAGGAATCGGCTTTTAATCTCGAGCTGAAAATTTGGCATTTCTATGCTTCTGGTCATATCTTTTTTTTTTTTTTTTTTTGACTTGGAGATTCACTCTTGTTGCCCAGGCTGAAGTACAGTGGCACAATTTTGGCTCACCACAACCTCCACCTCCTGAGTTCAAGCAATTCTCCTGCCTCAGCCTCCCGAGTAGCTGGGATTGTAGGCATGTACTACCACACCTGGCTAATTTTGTATTTTTAGTAGAGAGAGGGTTTCTGCATGTTGGTTGGGCTGGTCTCAAACTCCTGACCTCAGGTAATCTGCCCGCCTCGGCCCTCCCAAAGTGCTGGGATTACAGGCATAAGCCACTGCACCTGGCCTCTGGTCATATCTTTTACTTTAACAGAACCCATGTAAGTCACTTATTGGAGGCTGGGCACAGCAGCTCACACCTGTAATTCCAGCACTTTGGGAGGTCGAGGAGGGTGGATCTCTTGAGCTCAGAAGTTCAAGACTAGCTTGGGCAACACAGTGAAGCACCATTTCTACAAAAAATATTATTAAAAATTAGCTGGGCGTGGTGGCATGTACCTGTAGTCCCAGCTGCTCGGTAGGCTGAGGCAGAGGTTGCAGTGAGCCAAGATTACGCCACTGTACTCCAGCCTGGGTGATAGAGAGAGACCATATCTAAAAAAAAAAAAAAAAAAAAAAAAAAAAAACACACGTCATTTATTCACATTTGTCCTGTTATAGGTTCCTACCCATTCGCTTGGGAATCCCCATGACTTGGGAAGTTTGAAATGTGTTATACTTGGAAAGAGAAGTTTATTTCTTTTAAACATCTGGAATTCTTAAGCAATGCTTCAGAATAGAGTAGGCTCATGGAGAAATTTGTGAGAAATTCTTTCCATATGTAATTTACTGGATACATGGCCTGCTTACAATACTTATGATGAACAAGCTTAGGGACTGAATACAAGAAATTAGAATAGAACCTGATTCATTAAAAATAAAATAAAATAAAACTAAAACTAATAAAGCATATCTAAGTTGATAGGTTTCTGTATTTTCATGAGTCCAGTTTTTACTATTCCAGAATCCTGAGGAAGTTGAAAGCAAATTTACTTTCTCAGTTCTCCATTTGCTAGTATGATTCTGGAATCAAAAATATCGAGAGAGTTCTTCAGTCTTACTCTTCTGAAAGTGTTATTTTGGACATTCTTTTAAAAATGATTTATATAATTAATTTACCTATAGTTCCAGATGAATTTTTTATTTTCTAAAAAATAGTAATTTAAGAAAATACAAAAATCTAGGAAGAAGAAAAAAAATCATCCTTGGTTGAATCAACCTGGATTTAACTACTGTTAAATATTTTAATTTTTTTTTCTAGTTTTTGTTTTTCTCTATGAATGGATGAAGGTTTTACATGTTTTAATTATACTATTCATTTTTCCCTGAACTTATTATAAGCAGGTTATTATAAACATTTGTTGAGCACATTTCACCCATTGTGCAGAGGGCTTTCATAGACATAATTTCATCTCAGTCAGAAAAGTATCATTATTTTGAGAAGAGAAAACTGAAGTCAAACAAGTTGCTAATAGCTCAAAGATGCTTAGCTAGTAAATATTAACATCAAGATTCAGACTCAGCTTTTTCAACTTCATATCTGGGTTTTTCCTACTGTAGTGTAAATATTTCAATTTAATGCCCAGGTTTTTCCTATATATCTATTGAAATTGCATTCTGAACTGTTCTTATTAAAAAATTATCTCAATACATTTTTTGTAATTCCTACCTATATTGAAAATTATCATTACAGATATAAGCCTTCCAAAGTCAGCAGCAATCTGTTACACAGCAGCACTGTTGAAGACAAGGACAGTTTCAGATAAGTAAGTGCTATAATACTACAATAATTTGGAAAGACTGCTAAACTCAATATTATGTTTGTCCTCTACTGACTTTAAACAATGCTGTTTTCCACTCTACTTCCTTCTGAATAGCCCTCCATCTTTTAGGGCTTATAGATTTCTTGTGGTGTGTAATGGAAAGAGCAAAGTTTTTAGAGCTAACCTGAGCTCAAATTCAAAGTCTACCACATACTAGCTGTAGAACTGCAGTCAGGTTGATCATTTTGAGTTTCTCCTCCATCCGTAAAATGAGAATAATACCACAGGAGGGTTGAGGAGGATTATGTGTGGTAAGTGCCAAAAGCAATATCTAGAAAGAAAGCACAGGCCGGGCGTGGTGGCTCAAGCCTGTAATCCCAGCACTTTGGGAGGCCGAGGCGGGTGGATCATGAGGTCAACAGATCGAGACCATTCTGGTCAACATGGTGAAACCCCGTCTCTACTAAAAATACAAAAAACTAGCTGGGTGTGGTGGCGCGTGCCTGTAATCCCAGCTACTTAGGAGGCTGAGGCAGGAGAATTGCCTGAACCCAGGAGGCGGAGGTTGCGGTGAGCCGAGATCGCGCCATTGCACTCCAGCCTGGGTAACAAGAACGAAACTCCGTCTCAAAAAAAATAATAATAAAAAATAAAAAATAAAAAATAAAACAAAAATAGAAAGCACATACAATAAATAGTAACTCTGAGGTTGATGATGAAGTATGTGGCAGGGAAATAGGCATATGTTATTTCTTCTTAGAGAATAATTCTGAGTTCTTCTGCTTTTCTTGTATTTTTGGCTACTTTTAATGAATTCTCTTTATTGTGCAGATAAGATACTCAGAAATCAACCAAATGGTGACTATTTTCTTTCACCTTAGATTTTTATGCTTTGAAATGAATTAGAATGGAATTTTCAGCTTGTTTCCTCTCAGATAAGAATTTGATAAGAATGTACTGCTATTTCGTGAGATTATTTGGATATCACTGTGTAGCATTTATTACTTGGCTACCTTTTCTAAAGTGTACCTTCAATGGACTTCTCCTGAAGGCCTTCTTTACCTAAGTTTGAAGATTTTCATTCCTTATGCTGCTTTGTTTTTTATATATTAAACCACAAGGCTTTATTTATTTATTTTGGTAGTCCTCTGGCTTTGTTTTTGGCCATCTCCAGAAACTCCTTTGATTCAAGGGGCTGTTTCAATTCAAGAGATTATTATCTAAATCCATACTTTCTCTCTTTTTTTTAAAGCATATTTATTTTTTCATTTTGTGGTTTTCTTGTAGATTCTCTCCAGAAACAGCCTCCAAAAGAGGGTTAAGCACAGCAGAAATTAATGCCGTGGAAGCAATTCATAGAGCTGTGGAATTTAATCCCCATGTTCCAAAAGTGAGATATTTTATTATGAAAATACTACCTTTGTTTAAGTTTATCAAATTGTTGACCATGTAGACCAAAGTCTGGGTCACCATTATTTGGTGTGGAATTGTTTTATTCTGCTGTATTTTGATGCTTATTATTCACCTTAAAGGGGATGTTGAAACATTTAGGCATTTAGAAAGGTGGAAAGGAGTAATAGCTATATGCTTTGTAATTACTGTCAAAATATAATTTGAACTGTGTTGCTTACTTAGCTGTTCTTTTAGTATAGTTACAGAGAAGAAATAACGGCTTGGTCTTAAAAGATTATTCATATTTCATATTACTAAATTAAATTTCCTGTTACTGTGAAAGCTTTTTCTACACAGATGCCTAGCTTTTGAACTAGAGTTGGGTAGACAAAAACTAAAGACAAACATTAAAATAATCAATGATAGGAAACAGATGTGGAAATTCCCAGACAAACTGGCTGATGCTTATTTAGTCCCAGATGAATCTATGTACTTGCTTTGTCTTTATATTGTATACCTTGCAGTCATACAAATTATTGCTTAATCTTTGTGTGTTATAACACAAAGTAAAATTTAGGATTTTGGGTGGACACAGTAGTTCATGCCTATAACCCCAAGACTTTGGAAGGCCAAGGTGGGAGGATTACCTGAGCCCAGGAGTTTGGGATTAGCCTGGGCAATGTGGTGAGACCTAATTTCTGCAAAAAACACAAAAATAGTCTGGGTGTGGTGATGCATCCTGTTGTCTCAGCTACTTGGGAGGCCAAGCGGGGAAGATCGCGTGAGTTCAGGAGGTCAAGACTGCAGTGAGCTGCAATCATGCCACTGTACTGAAGCCTAGATGACAGAGTCAAACCTCATCTCAAGAATTAAAAAAGAGGGCGATTTTACAAACAATGCCCCATGTTAGGAAGTATAGACTATTCAAGAATAGATGCCCTTACTACGAAATGTAATTATAGCTATTGATTCCAGTGTAAAGGGTGTTAATAGAGCTTGGAAGCTAGAATAAAGAGCTATAGTAAAGAGATTAATTGCTAAAAGATAATTTCCAAGAAAAGGATGTTGTAAGCTTGTTAGAGATATGGTTAAGAAAAGTACTTAAGTCCAAGAAAGAGAATGGTACAAATATTTATACCATTCTCTCATTAAGTGACACTGGTTCCATACATTTAAAGACGGAAGCTCACCCATATCCACAGTTTCACATTCCATGGTTTCAATTATCCATAATCAGCCTCTGTCTGAAGATATTAAATGGAATATTCCAGAAATAATTCATAAGTTTTAAGTTTCATGTTGTTCTGAGTAGCTTGATGAAATCGTACACCATCCTCCTCCATCCAACCTAGTACATGACTCATCCCCTTGTCCAGCATATCCACACTGTTTATGCTACCCACTCGTTAGTCACTCTTAGTAGCCAACTCAGTTGTCAGATTGACTGGCATGGTATCATAGTGCTTGTGTTCAAGTAACCTTTATTTTACTTAATAGTGACCCCCAAATGCAAGATTGGAATATTATTATAACTGTTGTATTTTATTATTGGTTGTTGGTTATTAGTCTCTTGCTGTGCCTAAATTATAAATTCTATCATGGGTATATATTTGGAGGAAAAATCATGGTGTATGTAGGGTTTTGTCCTGTTTGTGGTTTCAGATATCCACTGGGAGACTTTTTTTTTTTTTTTTTGAGACAGAGTCTCGCTGTCACCCAGGCTGGAGTGCAGTGGCACAGTCTCGGCTCACTGCAACCTCTGCCTCCCAAGTTCAAGCCATTCTCCTGCCTAATTCCTGAGTAGCTGGGATTACAGGTACAAGTCACCACGCCCGGCAAATTTTTGTATTTTTAGTAGAGACGGGGTTTCACTATGTTGATCAGACTGGTCTCAAACTCCTGACATTGTGATCCACCCGCCTTGGCCTCCCAAAATGCTGGGATTACAGGCATGAGCCACTGCATCCAGCCCCACTGGGAGTCTTAAATGTCCTAAGGATATGGGGCAAGTACTGTAAACTTTTTATTATGAATTCTTCTACACATACAAGAAGGTGTATAAAACAAAAATGTGCATCTTAATGATTTATTACCAAGTAAATGCTTGAAAACTAGAGGTCAAAAAACAGAACATTGTCAACTCATAGACACCTACCTGACTGCCCTTTCCCATTACAACCTCTTCCTTCTTATCTAAAGGTAACCACTATTCTTATTTATTAATTATGTTCATTTCTTCTCTCTCTTTATGTTTTTGATCTGTACCTTTCCTTTATTTCTGGATTTTTTTTCTTTTTAAGACAGAGTCTTCTGCTTTTCAGGAGGCTGGGGCAGGAGAATTGCTTGAATCCAGGAGGCAGAAGTTTCAGTGAGCTGAGATCAAGCTATTACACTCCAGCCGAGGCCACAGAGTGAGACTCTGTCTCATTAAAAAAAAAAAAAAAAAAAAAAAGGCCGGGCGCGGTGGCTCAAGCCTGTAATCCTAGCACTTTGGGAGGCCGAGGCGGGTGGATCACGAGGTCGAGAGATCGAGACCATCCTGGTCAACATGGTGAAACCCCGTCTCTACTAAAAGTGCAAAAAATTAGCTGGGCATGGTGGCACGTGCCTGTAATCCCAGCTACTCAGGAGGCTGAGGCAGGAGAATTGCCTGAGCCCAGGAGGCGGAGGTTGCGGTGAGCCGAGATCGCGCCATTGCACTCCAGCCTGGGTAACAAGGGCGAAACTCCGTCCCAAAAAAAAAAAAAAAAAAAAAAAAAAAAAAAAAAAGAAAAGAAAAAAACAAAGACAAGGTCTTTCTCTCATGCCCAGGCTGGAGTGCAATGGTTCGATCTTGGCCCGCTGCAGCCTCTGCCTCCTAGTCTCAAGTGATCTGTCTGCTTCAGCCTTCCAAAGTGCTGGGATTACAGATATAAGCAAACATGCGCCTTGCCCTGGATTTATAAATGAGTTAAAGAATGGTCCATGTTTATTTATTCTCTGGAATAATTTATATAAAATTAGAATTATTTCTGCCTTAAATTAGTAAAATTTGTTATTAAAGTCATATGATTCTTCAGTTTTCTTTGTGAGAAGACTTTGAGTTACAAATTTGTTTTCTTTAATAATTTAATTACAAATTCAGTTTTTCTTTCTTTTTTTAATTTTTTTTTTTAAAGACAGGGTTTCACCATGTTGGTCAGGCTGGTCTTGTACTCCTGACCCCAGGTGATCCGCCCGCCTTGGCCTCCAAAGTGCTTGGATTACAGGCGTGAGCCACCGTGCCTGGCCTACAAATTGTTTTTAAGTGTATTATAACTATTGAAATTTTTTGTTTCCTGACCAGGCGTGGTGGCTCACGCTTGTAATCCCAGCACTTTGGGAAGTTGAGGCAGGTGGATCATGAGGTCAGGAGATCGAGACCTTACTGGCTAACATGGTGAAATCCCATCTCTGCTAAAAATACAAAAAAAAAAAAAAGAAAGAAAGAAATTAACTGGGTGTGGTGGTACATGCCTGTATTCCCAGCTACTCTGGAGGTTGAGGCAGGAGAGTAGCTGGAACATGGGAGGCAAAGGTTGCAGTGGCCGAGATCTCACCACTGCACTCCAGCCTGGGCGACAGAGCAAGACTCCATCTCAAAAAAAGAAAACAAAGAAATTTTTTGTTTCTTCTTATGTTGGAAATTGGTAAGTTGTATTTTTTAAAAAATTTATATCATCAAAATTTTCAAATTTATTGACATAAAGTATTCATAAAATCCTTTTATTACCTCATTAATATTTGCAGAATTAATTGTAATATCCACTTTTTAATTCCTAACATTGGCTACTTTTTTTTTTTTCCTTGATCAAATTCCTTAGGGATTTGTCAATCTTACTAGTTTTTACCAAGAACTTAGCTCTGGCTTTGTTGATTTTTTTTTTTTCTACTATTTCTGATTCATTTCATTTCTGCTCTTTATTGCCTTCCTTTAACTTAATTTGAGTTTATTTTATTTTAATTTTCTGTGTCTTCTCGCATAGATGTAATTTTCATCTCTGTAATTTTCAGGCTTTCTTCTGATATACCCAGTTAAATCTAGAAACTTCTCTCAGCATCAGCACAATTTTAACTGCATACTATGGCCACATTTTTTTTATGTAATTTAGTTCAAAATATTTTCTTTCTTTTTTTTTTTTTTTTTTTGAGACAGAGTTTCGCCCTTGTTACCCAGGCTGGAGTGCAATGGCGCGATCTCGGCTCACCGCAACCTCCGCCTCCTGGGCTCAGGCAATTCTTCTGCCTCAGCCTCCTGAGTAGCTGGGATTACAGGCACGTGCCACCATGCCCAGCTAATTTTTTGCCCTTTTAGTAGAGACGGGGTTTCACCATGTTGACCAGGATGGTCTCGATCTCTCGACCTCGTGATCCACCCGCCTCGGCCGCCCAAAGTGCTGGGATTACAGGCTTGAGCCACGGCGCCCGGCAATATTTTCTTTAAAAAAAAAAAAATAGAGATAAGATTTCTACATGTTGCCCAGACTGGTCTTGAACTCCTGGCCTCAAGCATCCTCACTCCCTCCCAAAGTGCTGGGATTACAGGTGTGAGCCACCTCACTTGGCCCAAAATATTTTCTAATTTGTGATTTCCTCTTTGATTTAGAGTTGTATTTATTCCATTAAGGTAGATATACTAAACAACAGATTTTATTTACATTTTTTGTCTCTTTTTCTTTGTTCTGCTTTGCTCATGTTGAGACATAACAGCTTTCCAAAGTAGATCAAACAGCCTTCTATTAGAAGAAGATGCCAACTAGGATTTTCATAACTAGAGAGGAGAAGTTGTTACCTGGCTTCAGAGCTTCAAAAGACAAGCTGACTCTCTTCTTAGGGGTTAGTGCAGCTGGTGACTTTAAGTTGAAGCCAGTGCTTATTTACCATTCCAAAATCCTAGGGCCCTTAAGAATTATGCTAAATATTTTCTGCCTGTGCTCTATAAATGGGACAGCAAAGCCTGGATGACAACACGTCTGTTTA